ACAATTGAATAACCATCAAAAAAGTAAAAGCAAGTGGACAAAAAACACACCATGTAAACACACAGGAACAATCACCAAAAAAAGAAGAAAAAAAAAAAAAACACAATATCTGGGGAGAGGGCTATAAGAGAAAAAATGTGCAGTTGGAGATTAATTAAGGAAAAAATGTGAAAAATGCAAAAAGTAAAACAAGGAATAGCATTAACCATGAGAAAGAAAAGTATGGGAACCAGGAACAGGGGAGAGAGAAAAAGCTGAAAACTAGAACCTAGGAAGGGAAGAATAAAGACATAAGTGGATTTCTTGACCACCCTAGCTGCAACAGAGGCTGGGAAAGCAGGGAACAGGATTGTCATGATTTGTATAGACTGATTTAGCCCCAAACCAAGTCAGTGTTATATTAGCAAGGAAGAAGTGGGAAGTGACACTGGGAAAGCAGCTGACTCTGCCTGCCACAAGTGTCCTTCTCTGTGCTTGTCCCCATAGCAGCAGTATCATACTGCAACATTTCCAACTAGATTGTAAGCTCCTGGCAGGCAAGGATTATGATATTTCTCTTTATCCCTGATGCCTGACACAATACTTGACACATAGTAGTTGCTCAAAAAAATCAGTTACATAAAACAACAAATAAATGTATATGTACATATAACACATATATTTTGAATTAATTAACAAAAAAGAACATCTTATTACAGCAATTCTTAACCCTGATTGCTATTTAGTAATGATGGGTATAGTCTCTCAACAAAATCATTGAATTTAGTCCCGGTTATCAGGATACAGTTTTCTTGGAGGCAGTCACTTTGCAATTCAACTCAGATTATAACATTCTCATAGAAATGACTGGGACCCTTTCAGCTGGAGCCCCATGTGAAAGGAGACTGCCTAGACCCTCCTAGATCAGTCCATTTCTCTGGCCCCATTCAGCCTTATAAAGAGCCTTTGTATGAGGAGGTCTGGGACCTGCCTCATGGAAACAGGCAATGTGAATGCTTAGGCTGACCTGTCTATACTGCCTCTCCCTGTAGATGAGATAAAATCCAACAGCAGCACTTGTTTGTTTTACTTAGACTCATCAGTAATTTGAACATTATATTCCTCCTATGAATAGCACCACCAGCCACACAGCCATCCCAACCAGAAACTTACGAGTTTTCAAAGCTGCCTCTCTCTTATGCTGCATCTTGCCAACTTGTCTCTGAATTGTTCTTAGAACTGCTTACTTGTCTCTGAATCTGCCACTGGCCTAGCATAGGTCTGATTGGTATTCCTGCTTCCAAAAAACATGTCTACATTTCTGTTAGTGAGATCTTCTAAAATGTATATTGAAGGTGTATCATTCCCCTGTATCAAAAATCTTCAGTGCCTCCTTATTGCATCCAGGATAAAGTTTAAGCTCCTCCAAGAACCAGCCGAACTATCAATTCAGTGTCTCTCACCTTCTTTACTGCTTGCTTTATGTCACACCACCAAGAAACCACGTGGATTTCCTTTCTCTCCCTCTGCCATTTCTCACCCCCATAGCTTTGTTCTTGGTGTTGCTTCTGCCTAGAATGCCCTTTCCCACTGACCTCTCCCTCTTTGTTGGTTAACTCTTATTCATTCTTTAACACTCATTTGATTTGGCAAGTCTTACCAAACTATTCCTCCCTCTCTCCTACCATAACTGCATTAGATCCCCTTCAGCCTGTACATACCATATTGTCTAATAAGTGTGTCTCTGCCTGCTCTACCCAAGGACTATGTATACTCCCTGAGGGCAGGAACATTACTGATTCCTCTTTGTATCCTCAGTGCCTACCACAGAGTAAACAACCATTCATTTCTGTTGACTGGCTAAATGAACAAGTAGGAAGGAAAAGAGCTGGCTTTCAGACATGTCAGATGGGCTTAATGTTTAGTTATTAACATAGTTTCAACTTTTAAGTAGGCATAGTGTTTGTGTATCTACATAGATATTCCCATATGTCTGTTTACTTTTATCATGTATGCTATAAATGTTATGTTCTATTAAGATGTATTCTGCATTTGGTTTTTAGGTTAAAGCCATTCACATCCACTCTGACATGTTCTCAGTTCAAAATGGCTTGCTGACACCAACACTAAAGGCTAAGAGACCCCAGCTGAGAGAGTACTTCAAAACACAAATAGAAGAGCTTTACTCAATCTCCATATGAAGTTCAAGGAAGGTTCCAGTATAATGGACTGGGTAGCAATATTATAGTTATTCTTGAAAGCAATGACTGAGAATGATGCAGCTGAAAATGAATGAGCACCTGACCTTATGATTGAGCCTTTTCTTGTCCCAAGAGGTCTTTAACAATATTTTCTCTATCATCATTGAGTACACTTTATTTTTATTAAAATTATATTGTAGTAAACTGATAAAAATGTCGTAAATGGCAATGTAAAAATCAAGACATTTTCTCAAGAAGTGTGTATCACTAAAAGTAATATATTCTTAATGTTCACAGATTTCCAATTAAACATAAAGGAAAAACCTAACTGTTACATTGTACTTAATTATTTGTGGAATAGAAACCAGACACAGCAAATATCTAGACAATGTGGACTACCTCATTCAATAACGGACTGTCAAAACCACAATTAAATCAGACTTAAAAAATTAAAACTAGGTATACAGAATCATATTAAAACAAAAAATGATAGTTCACATTCTACATAACTTTAAATATGTCTTTAAACATGACAATCTTCATTGATATGAAAAAGTTTTCTCTCTAAATTTTATTTTTATTCATGAAAAATACAAATTCAGATATTCTTAAATGTTATATTCATATAACAGTTTACAAAGATCTTTAGATACATTTTTTCATTTAAGCTCATTAAACATTCAGAAACTACCTAGGGAAAAATGTTATGTGAAAACTACTTCAAAGATTGTATATGCATATTTGTGGACTTCTTACCATAATGGCTTCTAAAAGATGTTTGTTGAGTCTACAATGAATGGACTCTTGGGGAAGACTTGGAGAAGAAACCCAGAGTTATTTCTCAGGGTGGGCAGCAATTAAGGCACCTATGTTCCTTGCTGGGGTCTTCCAGTCTTCCTTTCTCCACATGTCCATACCAAGTTTGGGAAAACCAATATGACTATAATTCTGAACAACACCTTTCAATAAGGCTGTCAAGGCAGGATGTAGGGGTGGGTGTTGTCTCCAAGTAAAACAATTTTTCAAGAATATAATTTTAAAGAAGCTCTTCAGAATGCTCCTAGGAAACTTTGTAAGTCCATCTTCTAGACATATATATGTCCATAGGGCATAATTCCATTCCTAAAATTTTTAAGTGCTTCTAAGTTAACCACAAAATCCTCCTCTCTTTCATTACGTATTTAGACATGCTCTGCCCCTGGGTGCCAACACTTTCATATAAAGCCCAGATACCATGGGCAACAATTAAGCTTCAAGTGATAGATTGTGCATCTGAAGAAGGCAGAGTACCTAGGAAAGTGTTCTTCTTCTGTAGAAATGGGTGTCTAAAAGCAGAAAAGGGGGCAGTGTTCACAGTACGGAAGCTCCTCTCACTTGGAGTAAATCCAAATTGTAAATACATGCTGTCAGTTAAAAAGTACATAATTACAGTTCAAACCCACCAGCCACTAAGACAGGGCAATCTACTTCCATAGTGATACTGCCTCAGAAACCCAAGGAGGGGTCGCTATGAGTCGGGTTCAATTTGACAGCATATAACAACAACAACAACAACTGGATGAATTACACATTTATATTTCAGTCTTGTTAGAAGTGGACCACAACTTCATTTGATGTATTTATCCAATCTTTTACATAGTCCTTCAATATATTCTCTCTGAAGACTCACTGCTTGCAATTATGGATTTGACATTTAGTAAATGAATTAGTTATATGCACATTAATTTTGAAAGACATTTCTAAATAAATACTAAAAATGTCCATGATCACATCTATATATTAATTTTTATGTTTAATATATATTCAACTAATTAAAAGTGAAAATCATGACCTAAATTGGACATCGATACTATTTTAAAGGCCAGTGACATCATACTACAAAGAAAAAGCTGTTTCCCATTGTCCTTTACTTGAGTAAAATTTCACACTTGCCTTTGTTTTCAAAAAAAGATTTGGGCACTATAATATAAGCAAATAACTTAAAATGTATTTTGCTTCTACTATGTTTTATAGTAGTTGGATATTATTGATTATGGAACACTTAAGATTTCTTCTTTTTCTCACTTAAAAGATTTTATGTTTCTACTAGCCTTCCTGACCTGTGCAAAAATCATTACACTTGGGCCAATAAATGGTGAAATAAGTTGAGAAAAGTAAAAAGTAAACCCTAAATATATTGCATGTACATTTATCTATTCCTATCTGTCTAACTCCACTTAAATTTTTAATAAAGGAAAAATGAGACTATATGTATTAATGGAAAAAATTTTCTTGCTTCAGATTTCCAAATATTATTCTGGGGGGGAAAAAGTGTGTTTCTGTTTAACCAAGATTGAAAAAGACATTCTCATTCATATTGGACATTGGATCTAAGTCTGGAGGTGTAACAGAATCAGTTCCGTAGCATAAACATGTTCTTAGATGTTTGGCTTTTTTACTTGAATATTCAAACGTGTTAGTAATTCTCATGTTTTGTAAACTAATTCTGTTGTGTATATTATAAAATGGAATTACATTGATTCTTTTTGTCATAAAATGTCTTTATATTGTATTGATTTCCTTTCCAGATAGGAGGGGAGACTGTTCAGGTGTGGTGTATAGGCCTAGCTCCATGTATTAGGCATTCACAAACTCAGAAGTCCAAGAAATAAACATACATGTCTCCTTCACATGATAAGTCACCCTTCCATTCTAAATTTAGGTAAAACTGTAAGCATGAGAAAATATAGAACTTTCCATTGTGATTTTTACAATCAGATAATGTTTTAGCAACTTGAAATCAGTTAATTTGATATGCTTACACATAAAAGAACCAATATTCTTTTATTTTTGCAGTAAAGAAAATTAATTATTTTCCAAATATATAAAGCACAAATTTCATATAGTTATTTAAAATATAAAATGAATGTAAAGAATGGAGAAATGTATTTTTGCATGAAAGCAGACCACTTGCACCTTGCTTATATCTCAGGAAAAAGAATGAACAATCATATATAAAATTGGTAAACTATATGTTGGGCTAGTTTGGCTGTATTTTCTTGCCTGCTTTTATTTAAGGAAGTATTTACATGAGAAAAACAAAAGGATCCTGGTAGTCTGAATTTTCTCTCAAGTATGCTGCACAGTCCTTCCTGTGAATGTACAATTAGCTGTGGTAAGAATTAGTTTAGCATTCCAGGAAGCACTAAGCCCCAAATGAGAAATTCTTCAGTTAGAACACATTAATGACTGTAACACAGAGGCAGTAGATAAATGCATAGAATGCAAACATTTCTAAACCTGGCTCCAAACTGAAAAGGTTAAATGGTCATTTGATTATTTTAATTTTCCTTGTTAAGTCATTACAATGATTGTGTGGGGGGAGAATGGGTATTTTTTGAAGAATTGCTTATTCTACTTTAAAGTTTTAAAAATTGAGGGAGTTAATATATTACTTTTTAAATATGCATAAAAGTATCTTAACTGTATTTTAAGTTGCTTTGTTATAACAGCATGCATATCAAATATAAAATGCATTCATGAAAACTTTTGTAAAAAAATAAAAAATAAAGGTTTTTCATTTCTCAATGTTGCTTATAATTACTATTTTATATATTTAGATAACATAATTCCCAGGTATTAGTATATTTGGTAATCAGAATTAGTGCTTATGGTAAACATAGAATTAAGCTTGGTCACTAATCAGCCTCTGTAAGGGATCCCTAAACTCGTGGTTCACCCACAGAGGCTCTCCTTTGCCTGGGATTCTGCTGGAACTCTTGCTGTCATCAAATGTGTTCTGGGTATAAGTCATTTTTATACTTTTAAAGGAATAAATAATTGTATTCAAATTTCCATCATGATGCCCCTTACACAGATTTCTCTTTTACTCATATACAGAGCTGTGGGTGCAATTTCTTAAAATGGTGCTTTATGCATTTATGTCTAAATGTTGCAGATTATGCCTTCTCCCTGTATTTACTACCATCCATTCCTCTTCCTTCTCACAACTGCTAGAGTAGTTTGGGCCATTTTCATCTCTTGTCTGGACTCAGTGCACTCTTAATCTTTGTTTCTTGCTGGCATCCTCAAATGTCACCACCATATTTTAGCCAAGGACAATCCTTCTAAATTGGAAATCTGGTCATGCCACTTTATTGCTTAATATTCCTTTGATGGGGAGCCCTGGTAGCATAGTGCCTAAGGCACTTGACTGCTAACCAGAAGGCTGGCGGTTCAAACCCACCAGCCACTCCTCGGAAGGAAGGTTGGGCAATCCTACTTCCGTAGTGATACTGCCTCGGAAACCCAAGGAGGGGTCGCTAAGAGTCGGGGCCGACTCGACGGCATATAATAACAACAACAACATTCCTTTGATGACTTCCCATAGTTTGCAGGATGAAGTTCAGACTCCCTATGTCAGCACACAAGGCCTAAAGGGATCTAGCATCTCCTGCTTCTCCCCTGTGAAACCTTGGCTCTTCAATCATGACATCTACCTTTTGCAGCACCTTGAAAGCATCATGCTTTTCTATGCCTGGCATCATTTCCTAGAATGTTCTTCCCTCTTATCCCCTTTGTCTAAATTCTACCAGTTTATGTCTCTAAATTCAGCTCAAGCATCCTTTTCTCGAACTTTCTACATGGAAAGATTGTTCCCTCTGTCTTAGTCCAACTCAGACTGTGAGCTGCCTAAGAGTGTGAGCTGAACTAAGAGTGACACCAGACATTCCCTGTACTCAGACACCTAAAATTCCCTTACTAATGCCTCACTGCAGTGCTGATAAGGAGAATGGCTACGGCATCAGAAGCAGATGTTGTGCATAATTCACTAATGAAATAAAAATCCAAGGCGTGAGTCCTGGACAAGGAAAACGCTTTTTCCAATCAGCTTCCCTTCAACATCATCTGTAGGATCCCATGCTAGAGGCCCACGTGGCAAGCAGGACAATGGTCCAGTATTGGGGCACCACGCCTCCAAAAAGAGTGGGGCCGCCACCGCATTTTGGGTCTTCCCAGAAGCCTCTGCGCGCCCTCGCGGGGATATAAAGCAGGAACCAGGCAAGCCCCCAATCGTAGCCTTATTTTCCCCTTTTCCTTCTTCTAGTACTTCTCAGGTTGCTCAGCAGGCATCCCCTGGCCGGTGACTCCCTCCGTCCATAGCGCCATTCCTGAAGACGACAGAAGCCAAGACGCCCCGAAGCCTGGGGCAGGGGTTGCAATGTGGCCGCTTCGAGTCTATACCCGCAAGAAGCGGGCCGGCGAGAGGCTAAACCTAACCCCTACTCCGGATCTAAGCGTCCCCGCAAAGGCGAAGGCCCCACTAGGCCCGGGCCGATGGCTTGTCGCCCCCTGTAAGCCCCGCCAGGCCGGCCTCCATGTAGGGCGGGACCTGGGGCTGGACAACGCAGCGGGCCGGGGCAGCCAGGCCTCGGCCTCAAAAACCCCGAGACCCGGCGGCGGGGCTCCAGGGCAGTTGCCCTGAAACCTGTTGCTTTCTCGCAGGCCGAAAGGGGAAACGCAATGCACACGGTTTGCCTAAGGTCTCGGAGAAAGCGGAGCAGAGCGAGCCGGGAGGGAGCGGCTCGGGGCCGCTGAGGTGCGTAGCCCCACGTCTTCTGGCCCCCTCAGAAAAATTCAGTCCTAAGTTTTATCTAATACCCTCTCATTCTAAGAGTCAACGAAGAAAATTAATGGATACTCAGATTTCACTAAATGGAAATCTTGCCTGTTACCTAAAAGCAAGTGAGAAAATTGCAGAGAAAGCTTTTGTGGCATTATTTGGGTATCGGTGCAATTTATCCGGTGTGTTCCTATGTTTTCTTAAAAATGTTTTCAAAGACCCTTTAGGTTCTGAACAGTAATGAGCAGATAGATGCATGGACAGTCAAGTCCAGATAGTACAAACTAATTGTGTTGTTTGTTTGTTAAAACTCAATTCAGAGTTACAGGAGAGAAAAGCCTGAAAAATAGCACTAGTGAAGAGACCCTGGATGAGAAGCATGCTCCATTGAATGTATGTATGTTTCTCCTTGAATGAATTTAGAGACCAATATTACCTGACGTACCTCAGGATAAAAGAATAAAAGGCTCTTTGTCAATAGAAACTCCACATAGACTTCTAGTGTTTTTCTAAGAACTGATTTTGTATCTTTAGACAGGGCCTTGAAATTCTGATTAAAGTTGGTTTGGTGCCATGCATCTTCATTTTTCCTTTCGCTTGACAAGCATTTGAGAATTTCATGTTAATGAATAATTTTCTGTTTGACTATTTTTGTATTTGACTTTCCATCAACAAGAAACGGGATTCACTACCACTACAGTGTTATATAGCTTCTTGACCCACTGTGTTTAATAGGAATTTTGTATGATACTTTAAAGCTGTGCTTCCATAGTTTGAGGAAAATCTACGTTTTAAAATTTGCTTGTGACTTATCTGATATTAGACATTAAATTTGATAGTCAAATTACAGATTGTTAGCTTACATACACCACAATAACATTTGTGTGTGTGTGTGTAGGGTAGTTTCAACACAAGGCATTTTTAAAGAAAGGCTCTTGTGTAGTTTACCACATACACACACACACACACACAAAGATTTACCCCTGACTATAACAGTATTAAGTGTTGTAGAAAACTCAGAATATGCCAAAAAAAAGTGTTAAAGTTTTTATTTCTTTCCATTCTTTTTTTCTATGCTCGAAAAATTTTACAAATTTTTATCTTTTTGAATATTCACCCTCTTGCCTTAACATTAGTCTTCAAAAACGTGATTGTTAGTGTCTGCATAGTACTTTGTCTTGTAGACAAATAAAGTATAATGTATAACCATTTTCCTATGGGTAGGGCACTGAATTGTTTCCAGGATTTGCAAGTATAGGTATCAGTGAACATCTTTCTACAGATGATTTTGTGGTATACCTCAAATTATTATCATAGGACAAATTAACATAAGACAAATGGTCTAGAAGTTGGATCATGTTTAAGATTTTTAATTCGTGTTGGCAAATTGGCACCATATTACCTGAAATGTAAGAAAATCTTTAATAGATGAAAAATAGCATATTGTTTTAATTCCATACTCTTTTCACATGTTATTGGCCATTTGTATTTCTTTTTGTGTGTGTGTATGCAACACCTATTCATTATTCATATTGAAGATAATTATACTTTGGTACACACACATATATAACAAGCATTTCTATATTGCTTTTCCTTTAATTTCTGGTATTTTAGACTTACCTATTGCGGTGTAGTAAATTACTTAGTGTGGCTTTTCTACCCATAAGTCTTTGTAAACTCCAAGGTGGGAATTGCTATTAGAAACTGAGGAGATCCTGATTTTAAAGAAATAC